CTGAGCCACAACCACAGCCCTGTGTTTTCTTTTTGAACATCCTTGAGATAGTTATGTTCAAATTGTTGTCTTGTAAATTCCATTTCTAGAGTTCCTTGGGGATGATTTCAGTCACATTGTTTTGTTTCTCTGAATTGTTCATAGTCTTTTTTTCTTTGTATACCTTGTGGGGTTTTATTGAAAAGTTGATATTTGAATATTATAATTTGGTAACTTAGAAATCAGATTTTTCCTTCTCCAGGTTTTGCTATTTTTGATATTTTAGAAGACTAATTGTTTAGTGAATTTCCCAATCCTTGGGCAAATATTTATTTTGTGTCATATGCAGTCACTGAAGTCTTTATTTCCTAGCTTATATTCAGATAGGGTTTTGATAGAGATATCCTTAATGTCAGAGGTTATACAAAGTACCAAAGCCAAACCCTAAATCTCTTCCTATCTTTGCAAATCAGCCCTTCAACATTTGGTCAAGCTTGCACTGATCCAGAGTTTTGACAAAGTTGGTTTGATGCTTACTTTTTCTGTTGGAAGAATGAGTAATTGGAATTCCATAATCTGTCATTTTGCTTTTCTTCTTCTTGAATTTTATTTTATTCTTCTTCTTCTGGTTAAGAATTCTATTAAGGATTTGATAAGAATAAAAATGTTTTCTTGGTGTTGGGGTTGTAGCTCAGTGATAGATTACTTTCCTGGCACATGTAAGGCACTGAGTTTGATGATCCGCACCACATCACAATAAATAACAAAATAAAACAAAGGTATGGTATACATCTACAACTTAAAAAATTTTTTCTTAAAGTTTTCTTAAAAATGGTCAACTTGAAAATTGTTTGTTTACAGTCGTCCCTATGTATTTCTGTTTTATATCTGAGTTTTCACTATTACAAAAATAATTTGTATTATTTAGAATACTAAATATGGCCACTAAATCATTAGGATGCTATAATTAACAATAGAAGAAAGAAAATTATAAAAGTCACAAATTTCTGGTATTGACTTTAGCACTAATTCTTAGATCTCATGGGCATTCCTGTATTTTTAGCACAAATAATTAGCATAAGAAAGCTGATAATTACCCTGATATATGAAATGATGTGATAATCTTTAATGGCTCCTGTGTATATGGATGATGATAAGACACTATCCTTTGTCAACATGTGAATATACTTTATTTATAGATTTTTTTCTAAAATGTACCTTTTAAGGGGTTTTAAATTGAATGAAAACATTTCAGTAGTGTATTGTAATTCATTTAAAAGGCACAAATATTTCAAGTGCTTACTAAACCCATAGATTTGTTTTCATCTTGGTTTGAACCAAGTCATTCTCTCCCCAACCCCATTGCTACTAAATATCATACAACTGTGTTGTTGATTGAATAATAATTCAGAGACTAAGACTTTTTATATGTATGCCTTTCAGAATTCATATCTAGTGTGATGTGATACTTTCATTCAGTGTTTTCAGATGTAAATTGAAGGCACATTTGAGTAGGTGTGCTTATTCAGAGTGTTATTCTGCCTCTTTTTAACTTAACCTAGTTTAAAATCACTGGTTCTCCTTTCATGAAGCAGACAGATGTTTGTGCATAAAAAAGTACTACAGAAATCTATTGTAAACCTACCTTCATTTAGCATGACTTCAACAATGCATAGATAGAACTGATTTAGCTTTAACTGCAGTTATGTTTAGCTAAAAGAGTCCAGATTCCATTATACTTTTTTGAAATTTAAGTCACAATTGTACACTATAGATTTAATAAATTAGATACATATGCTACAAATTACTGTTGAAAAATACTAGCCTTTTGTATCTTAATTTAATGCAAGTAACAGTATTTTTTTAAATCAGCCAATTTATTAAAATAAGTGTGAATGCTATGCATTCATTTTGTGAAGTTGTGTGCTAATTAGTGAAACATCGATGTTATATCAATTTCAAACTTCAAATTTTGTTCACAAGTAATGCTGAGTTGTTTCTGTAGATATAGAATTATTGTACTTTGTTATATAGTAACAGATCTAATGCATGTTATATATTGCATATAATTTATGTATATATTTAAAATGCATAAGTTAAATAAATATGTCCAAATTATTTTACTCATTAGTTTACAGTAGGTATTGAAATACCTTTAAAAACCAAATTGTATTTTAAAAATTTACTCGATTGTTAAATTACTTTTCAAGTAAGTGCAAGAAAATCTATTATTGTAAAACACATTTAGGTATTTGTGCTCTCTGATCATTTAAAGGTCTTTGTGTAAGATTACTTTAATAACGTATTTATGTGTGTGTGTATGACTGGAAAACAGCCTGTACATTCTTGTTGCTGTTATGGCTACCTGACAGCTTAGTTCAGGAATTAGAATAGCAACTGAAAACATCATATCAAACTCTCTTGCACCCTCTGTTGTTATTTTTGGGAAACACTGCACATACATTCTTTTGGTTGTATTGTTATTACACTTATTTAAGTCCCTGATAAAATCAATAGTTTATTATACTTACCTCCAAACTAGATTCAACAGTAAAAGAAAATTTGTTTATAAGTCTTAATTTTTTTTATGTTGCAGCCCCCTTTTTTTATATAATTTAAATGAAAATGGAGCCTTGTCTGTTTCTTTGATTTCTCCTTGTTACCAGTTTTTAACTCCATGTTTCATACAAATGAAAGTCTTTGCAGGATGTAGTACCTTATTTGTACAGTTTTCCAGAATTACAGATTTTGTCTGTTCTTTTGTAAACCTTTCAATTGTGAGTTTGCTTCCAAAAGAAGAGTCTGAAATCGTCCATACTAAAATTAAGAATTTATAACTGTACGGAACAGATGTTTTCATAAACATTTGCTATAATTAATTTCAACTAGAGGATTGAAGGAACAAAGCAGTTTTTCCCTCTTCAAAACTTTATTGCCTTTTTCCCATATAACAAACTCTGAAATCTTTTCTCTAATATTGTTAGTAAGTGAAATGACTGTGCTCCTTATTTGGTATGTTTTTGAGAACAAAAACTGCTTTTTTTTTTTTTTAATTACTGTCTTTTGTACCTGGAAAGTTACGTTTAATGTGGCATTTTATTTGATTTACAGTTATAAACTGAAAGAAACCTTTGTACTATCTTATGGTAATAAAACCTGTTTTTAAAAAAGCTTCTTATTTGAATGATTTTATATGTGATCTGATAAATCAGCTTAAAGGAAAAATATTCTGTCAGTAGGATTTTATGTATTTAAATAATATAAACCTTTAGGTTTAAGGAGAAAGGCTCATATTTTAAGTGTATAATAAAGTTCTTATTCTGTTCTGGTATGGAACATTTCACAGGAAACGTCTGCAAGCTGTTAAATAACGTGCTAAAGGAAATTTTCATTTAGCAATGCAGACAAATTTTCTTTAAATCTTATTTATTATAATAGTAGTACATTTCTAAAAGAAAATTACATATGTGAGTTTATCTTACCCTTGTTTTCGAAGAATTAACAACAAATACACATCTTGACTAATCTTAAAATATATAAATTTTTGGATTATTTTCTCCTATAAATTGTCATCATTTTTGAGTGATATGATCCACCTTAGCACTTTTTCATTTAAAGAAAAAAATACCTGGAAATATATTTTGAAAAAAGAGTAGAATTAAAAGTTTAGTAAACAGGCTCAGTCCATTTCTGATATTTTGGAACTATTTGGCATAGCAGCAAAATACGTTGAAAAAAACCAACATTCTTGACTAATCTGTCAAATATAAAATGTGTTAAAAAAATAGGTAGCTGTCATTAAAATTACATTTCGGTTTTCAGTAACTATTTAATGAGCAGCATAATTATAGAAGTATGGTACCTTAAGTACTATACTCAATAATTAAAAATAATCTCTTTAAACTGAAAGCTCCATAATTACTATTTGACTTAACTAGGACCACTGTGATGATCTCCAGTGGCACCTAAGTTTGTTCAAAGTGAATTAAAAGTATAAATGAATATTGTATAAACCATGGAATTATTAACCTCTGAATATTCTAAAAACAAATATAACCTGATGTTTGAAAGCTATATTATAGGAATTAGGAATATGAAAGTTAATCAGATTCTAGTCTTTTAAATGATTTTTTTAAGAACAAATGATGTGTTTAATTGTAGTATACTATGATTTTAGAAAAATCTATAAAGCATATGTTTTAAAAATTAAACTATTAAATTTTTGTCAATAAGAATGCATATTTTACACTGGAGCATTGCTAAGCTGCTTTTTCCAGAAAAAATTTTACTAAATTTATTTGTGTTCAATAGTGTTTAAACTGACATGTATGAATTTGTTCTAAATTTGATTTGACAAATATGCTGGTTTCTTAAGTGAATGTTTTTCTAAATGCTATAATTGACAAATACTTTTTGGTGATTTTTTTAATGTTTTAAATGGCTAACTTTCTAAGTTCAAAGAAACTTTTGGCATAAAAAGGCATATTATAAAGTTCATATTATAAATATACTGATGACTACCTCTGAAGCTTTTGTTTTACCTCTCTGCTTAGAAAATTCCTAGATAGCAGCAAAATATGAACAAGAAAATCTTGTAGGTCTGCCCTCTGCTCATTCTCATTTTTGGCTGTACCAGTGGTCAGAATGGGTGACCTAGATACTAACAAAATAACAAAAGCATTGCCATTGCTCATAAACATTAGCTTAAAATGAAATGGTTTACAAGTTTTGGTTTTGTCTGTGATTCATAAAATGAAATGAACTATGCTTCATTTGTTCTTGTTAGCAATGACTTTGGTAGTATTACTAACCAAATCAAGAATGGTGGTGTTTATATTTGGCAATCAAATGAAATTTTTGCCTAAATGGCTTGAAATACAAAAGGTAATTGGAGAGGGATAAAGAAATATATGTTTTGTTGAATATTATATATCATAGAGCTGTCACACAGTAGTTTTTCAGATGAAATATTCAATTTTGTAATCTCCATTATTTCTGTGTTTTTAAATTTTTTTTTCTAGGAGATTCAAATAAAAATGGAAGAAGAACAAATTCTACCTTAGACTCTGAGGGGACTTTTAATTCATATAGGTAGGTGGTGAATACATGGATGCGTAGTTTTATAAGATAATTTATAATTTTATAGGATTTAAACCTTAGAATAGGGAGGAACTAGTACTATCTGTGCTTTAAAAGTATTATTGACATGTAAATAACATTGCAGTCTGTATCTTAGACAACAGAAAACATTCTGAATTCTTGAATAAATGAACATTGCTAATATCTGTTGTTATCCTATAGGAGAAAAATTGAAATGAATATAGAGTGTAGTTCTGAGCTTCATTATAATCCATTTTTAGTTATCTTTTTCTGGTATTTCTGTTATAGTACTAAAGGCTTTTGTTTGTTTGAATTTCTTGCTAAAAGAGAATGTACTGCTCATGAGTGCCTAAGGGAGCTTAAAATGTAATTTGTGATTGAATTAAGTGCTGTTTGTTAATATTCTGTTTGGGATCTTTAGCAAACAGGACAGTTACATCTCAATTAGTAATTTTAAAAAAAAGTTTAAAAATATGTAATTTAATCTTGTTTTTTAATTTTTTCTCCATAATTTGGTTTTACTGAAGTCAATCTTTATGAATTGTATTCCTTATAACAGAGAAACCCAGGAAAAAGAAAGATGAATGTTATTTTCAGTAATATTTAAAAATCCATACACTAAACCAAAATGGTGTCATAACTTGATTGTTTTCTTTTAGGAAAAAAAAGTACAGATTTATTATTAGTATATTTAAGCATTGTAGATGGCAGTGTACATTTTTGAAGAGATAACTTCAATTGGAATTAAGTGTCCTTATGATTAATTAGTTCTAATAATGTGTAACAACATTATAAAATATATTTTAAAAACCACTGTACTCTTGGAAACCCATTTGAATATTAAACCGTATCTCCTTTTCTATAATAAATATGGAATATATGTTTAGTTTATATTTTTGTTTTTATACATATGTTTCCTTAATTGGAACCATGTCATTTGTTTCTTAAGATTCCAGGCAGGCTTTTAACATTTAGAAAAGAGCCTTATTACATAGTAGGTATTTAGTAATAATGTAGTGAATGAAAAGTTTTTACAATTTGTTTATGAATTCTAGAAATGAGATGATAATTGAAACACTTGACATCTTTATTTTATGCCAAGTGGGGTCTATGCAAATAATCAGTCATTTAAGTGTCAGTGATACTAGATAAAGCTTATGTTCCCATAGTGTTCTAGAAGGGTATTATCACAGCAGTAAAGCACGTATGTTGTCATTGTATTTTCACTGTACCCATCCTACCTTAAAAACTATTGCAATTCTCCCAATCTTTCTTTTAGTTTGAAAATTGACATACGAAATAATAGGTAGATTCCACTCTCTTAATATGTCACAACTATTCACAACCACCACCAAGAAAACTAAATATAAAAAAAAATAGTTAAGCAAGTATTAATGATTTGGCATGTAACTGGGGAATGTGAATATGATAATCATGGTAATGTTATTATGTGTAAATACAGTAAAAACAAAGGGGGGAAAGTAAATATTTTAAAGAAAGGAAGACTTCTCAACATGTTATACATTTTTTGGCTACTTATGTTCTACAATTACATTTGTAGTTTAACCACATATTAAATAATGGACATAACATAATGGTAAAGTTTTAATGTGAAGATATAGCATTATCTTATAGTTCTTTTGTCCTCGAGTAGCTTGGGGATTACTGTATTTTAGTATTATTGAATGTTAACTTTATTTTGAAAATGAACTCTTAGTGCAACTTGGAACAATAAATGATGATGCTGTTAACTAAATATTTTTAATCAATGCCTGTCACTTGTAATGCCATGATATTAATGTATTATTATAATTAAAATGGCAAGATAAAAGCTTTGGTAGTACAGTATGTAAAAATGGGATTTAATAGTTAATAGGCCAGTGCTGCTATTAGATGGCATTATAGTATTTAAGGTATGAAATGAATATTTTTCTAGTCAGTAGGCAGTAACTGTTTAATAAGCTTACTTGTGAATTTGACACTTGGGTTAAATGTACAATTCTTAGCACAGCTCTAGGGTATATTTTCATTGTAAGGTTAACTGACAAAACCTCAAAATAGTTTCTGAATCATATTAAAATAGTGTCAGAATTGTCAAATTTACTTTGTAAATGAAAATTATTTTTCTGATATCATTGTAGTTCTTCAAACTATCTAGAAATAGGTTACCAGAAAAACATATTTTACAGCCCTGAAACATGCTTTGGTGTAACAGTCTACCTTTGTATTAACCTGCCTCAGAATCATAACCTTCCTGTATAACAACTTGGACTTTTATACTAGCACCAGCTCACTCAGGATATGTATACTTGTATCTAGTATAAATACTAGTAGCTTTAGTCTCTCATCCATAAAAGAGGCAATATAATTTCTAACCTGCCTTGGTTTGCATAACTGTTTTAAAGACTGAAGTAAAATGTGTAAAACAAAGGTATTTGAAAATCGAAATGCAAAGCCATAGTAGTAATATTTGGGGCTCGTGTGTACATTACATTGCCTCACTATTTACACCCTTTTATAACATTCACTGATGTTTTATTAACTTTGTCTTATTGGTCACTTAAGTCTGTTTTTCTTATCATTTGTATTCTTGTAGTATTACATTGTCAAGTTTTGAGGGGTCATAGTCTCAGGTTATTTGTTTTTTAAAAATATCTGTACAGAATGTTTTGGTTGAAATCCTTTGAAGTGAGGATAATAGAATTCAGTTGATATAAGGAATTTAATAGGATAATGTCACATGGTAAATGCTAAATAAATATTAGTTGCTTTTATGTTCCAGTCAGTGTCATCATCATCACTGTCATCATCATTAACCTTTTGGTTTTGTAGCAAGTTTTATAGTGCTCTAATATAGAAACAGCAAAAGGAGGAGAGAAAAGAATTCTTACAGGAAAATAACTTGTCTTTTAACAGAAAAGGAGCTTAAAGCTTGTGAATCAGCTTAACCTGAGGCTCTGTGCCAGGCACAATATTCTTCATTACCTTCCTGCTGTGTATTTGTATACCTAGTAAAGGTGAAGAGAAGATATTTTACTAATGAATTCAAAGATGGATATCTAGAACTTTATTAACAAATAAGTTTTGAAATTTAAAATCAGTGGGTCCTAACTATAGCTTTATGTGCCTAAAGTTCATAGAGATTGTGCTTTTTTATTTGTTTGTTTTTTAAATAGGCTAGGAGGCTTTACTTTAGATTTGTATTTTCTCATGGTTTTACCTTATTGAGTCAGGTAGGTTGGGTACAGCTGTATTTAACTCCTAAACCAGTATGATTATCTTATGGTGTTTGAGTGTTAGAGCTGATCTTGTTTTAAAAGTTTTGGTTAAAAATCTGATTTATGTCTCCAACTAATTTGCAGATGATGATAAAGTGGAAAATTTGTAAGAATTGAGAAGACATTGGTTTTATGAATGATATCTTGTGCTTTTAAAAGACCAATGTTAATGTTTATGGTCAGACTATAGGCTTTCTTTATTTCTTACTTAACCATTAAAGTGGAGAGTCTGGCTTGCTGGGTGTGAAAGAAGAGAAGCAGTTTTCTGATTACTGGTTTGCAGTGGCCATTTAACTTAATGTATCCATCCAGCACAGGGCTATATGGTAGAAGGAATATTCTTTCTCTTCCACCCCTCCTCCTCCCAAGGGCAGCTGACCTTCCTCTCGCCAAAAGAGGCAAGCCCCTTGCCAGCACATATGACTGTAGACTATTACATTAATCTGTTTAGCTGTAGTACCAGCTGCTTGCATGTTTTTAATTATCTTATTAGATGTTATAACAGTGACCTATGAAATAAATTGAAGGTGAACATTTTTAAACTTTTATTACTGTTTCTTTAACATCTTTTTGATCAAATTATAACTTTTTACAAAAGTTCATAGAAAATCTATGTAGTGCTTTTTTCCCAGATATAATGTCATGATTCCCAATATAGAAAATATCTTCATTTTTTGCTTTATTTATTGATAAGAAATAGATTGTGTTTTTAGTCAAAAAATTCGTGGTAAATTTGGCTTACTAGTCAATTTATAGAAAACTCAAACCAGTTATTTGGCATTTGCTTGGGAACTCAAAATATTGCTTAATTTTCACACATCATCTTGGCATTGTATAAATGGCCTATGATAGAATGAAAATCATTGTGGCTTATTTTAAAATAAATTAGTACATTATACTTAACTCTTGATTTTCTAGATTCTTGTATATACAGTAGGAAATCGTCTGCTTTACTCTATTTTTCTCAATTTAATTTCACATGGTACTATGTATGTGTGTATTTTCTCAAATTATCCTGTAAGGAAAATGTACTATCTTCTATATTTTGACAATTGGAAGACTTTCAGATAATAAATTGTAAATGCAAAGTTGACTTCAAGATACACACAGAATAACCAAAACTGATGATAGTTCAATTACAAGTCATAGCCACTAAGCTAAAGATTATAAGAATTTAGTAAGGAATCATGGTGTTGAATTAAAAGTAAGTTGTATGTAAAAAGGATTGCAGAAATACTAATGTGTGTCTTTTTAGTTAACAAATCCTACAACTGGGACAGTGGTGTGACTTTGGCAATTAACATTTTTTGAAGGCTTGCCTACTTGTTTTATTTTTTAGAAAAATATACATACTTCTTCAATCTTTCTTCTAAAGAGGTGCTATATTTTGTATTCCAAAAGGACATTTGTTGAAGAATATGGTGTATTCTGTAGCTCAATCAAAGGGTGTTTTACGTTGGGAAAAGTGTTTTAAAACTTACAAGTAGGTTTAGCTTTTGCATCTAAAAGTTAAATCTTTTCCTGAACAAGGATATATACATTCATTTGAACATTCTTTAATCACTAAATCATAAAATAGTTTTCTTTAAATCATTTTAAAAATAGATGAAAAGGCTTATTACAAAGATATTTCTGTCCCTTGTTTACATGTAATCAGTACCTTCAGAGCATTTATTTTTAGTTAATACCTTTTACATTTGTATGTAAGAAGTA